TCAATATGCATAATTGACATGAAAAACTACTTTAGTAAAATCAAGCAAGACTTGCTATGTATTCTTTGTTACCAGAGTCAGAAACTAATAAATGCTTCTTTTTGAAGCCAAACCTTGACTCAAAAAAAAAAAAATTCAAATGAATTGAAAATATAAAAACAGAACATCACCCTAACTAATTTAGTAGCAAGCTAGTTTGGGCATAATTAATTGCATATAAGACCGTATGTGATATCTTAAATCCAAATTCATCGATAAAATCTAATATAAGAAACTTAATTTAGCTCAAAATAAAATCCCAATTTTCAAAGTAGTGGAATCAAAGTGCAAACCTGTCCAGTATCAAACATATTGCAAATATATATGCCAAAGTCTCGTTGAAGCCATACAATATCCCGATCTGCTCCATGCATGACCTAATTGCATTAAATATTATCATAAAATAATGTAGATATATCATAAAGCCAAAAGAGTAGTGTGGTTGAAGAGAAAAACCTTTTTCTTGGTAGGGTCTTTGAAAATTTCCCGAAGATATGGGCCAACATGAATGCGGAGTTTCAATGTATCTACCACAAAATCTTCAGTTCTGGTAGAAATTTGCATCAGGCAAGTCAATCCTTGGAAAGATCGATATTGATTATGTTCCAAATCGACCTAGAGAAAAGTTAAACAAATATTACAATGTTTTCATATTTACTAGAGGATCTCTTTTTCTGATGAAGTGAAAACTAATACCATGTTTATTTAATCCATATTTGCTTAAGGATCTCCTTTTGCCTTAAGTAGAAACCAATACCAGGTTTTTTTATTTTTTATTATTATTCATACTTGCTCAAGGATCTCATTTTGTCATGAAGTAAAAACTAATGCCAGGTTTAATTCATGCTAGAGAAAAAAAATGAAGATATAGTCAAGAGTGCAGTTCCATGTCAAGCAACTAGATAAATTCCTTAAGCGTACAAAACTAGCACCAAAAGAAGTAGACAGTTTATTCTATTAACCTGACAGGAAGATCTCAAAGGGGATTTTTTCTTTTTTTTTTTTTGTTTTTTTTTTTTTTTTTGTTTGGGGGGTGGGTGGTGGCGCACTTAGAGGATTGGGATCTTAACTATCCTTTATCCCAAGGGATCTTAAGTAACCTTTATCCCCAAATAGAATAGTTTTGTACAAATAAGGTTCTCTATGAATATAGAAAATAAAGATGCTGCAGAGATGAAACTAATATGGTAAAATTTTGGCCAAGCAGCCCAGCGTCAATGTACCAAAAATAATAAATCAGCAGTCAGACTTTACCACAAACTCATTTACACTCCGTAATTTAGCAGCTAACTCCTTCAAATCTTTAACTTCTTCCACAAGCTTGAATGGTGTTTCCTTCAGTGATGGGGGTTTTACAGGTTCAACATCACCTATATCTTTATCCACAAAATCCAAAACAGAGAGACTCTCCTATACACATGAAGCAACAAAAATAAACAAAAGTATTTTACATATATTCTGGCAAGGATGACAACAAAAATACATCAACAGATGGCGTGAGAAATTTTTTAAACTTTTCTTTGGTTAAATGAGAATAACAATGACAGACTATGAAAATATAGGCAAGTAAAGATAAGCATCAATATCTAACCGTGCTTCCACCAAATAGAAAATGGGAGACAATTGTAAAACTATTAATCAGATAAAGGGCATTTAAAGAGTGAATTATAGGACATTAACCAGTGAGGCAAAGAGAAACATATAGACATATCAAGTCATCTTCAAAAGGATCTCGGCTTTGGCCCAGGAGTATTTTGCACCTATATTCTGAAAATTATCTTTCGAAGTGACGAAACTTATGACATGACTTTGAGACATATCCGGCTATATACAAGAAATGTCATCATATGACGACAAATCAAGATCACTAGCATCTACATACTAGCTAGCATTATCCAGGATAATATCCCAGCAAAAAAAGCTAAAAACTACAGTTCTCTATAGTAACAAAAATTATTTGAACAAATGATTCTAAGTGAATAGAGCTAGTCCGTATTAGTCTCAGCACTCTTGTTTTCCAACAAAAAGAACAATCACACAACATATATTTCAGTTATTACAGCTTAGAATTAAAAGACTGAAAGAAACATGTTCTTTCTAGACCTCAAAAAATTCTTCTGCCCAGACACTAATTACTATCCTAAACAAATCAAATACTAACCAATAAATTCGCAAAAAAGAAATAAAATAACAATAAAAAACTAACCAGAGGATGAACAAATCGCTGATTATCCTCACTCCTCTGCAACCAAACATGCTGAAATGGCTGGTTCAAATTATTCACCAAGATATTATACTCCTCTTGAGGTCTCTTTATAGTGGGTATATGAAACGGCACTTTTGCTCTCTCTTTCTTTTCCTTTACTTTCACATTCAACAAGTCACCCTGCACTTTACCCCGACTCACTGAGTCACCACCACCACCACCACTCACCGCAAACTCGCCCTTCTTCTTATTCTTCCCATAAACCAACTGAAACCCATCTTCATTTCCCCCCTCTCCCTTCTGCTCACCCCTATTTTTCTCAAATTCATCAAAAGACGCATCGATACGCTCGAAAACGTCGTCGTTTACATTAACAAGCCAGTCGTAGGCATCAACGATGTCCTCTTGGTCGGGAAACTCAATGGGTCGGCCCCAAATTTCTGAAGAGCCGATAGAATGGAGCAAAGATTGTGATTTGGCGGCGATTTCTAGTACGGGTCGATTGAATTCTTCGAAGTTGTTAAAGAAATGAAAATCTTTGTCAGACGGGAGGCTTCGCGAAGAAGAAGAAAGGTTTGAAAGCGAAGAGGAGAGCGGAGCCCTTAGGTCATTGAGTGACTGGGCCGCTGTCGGAGCTCGTGGTGGCTCGTCCTGCTCACTCATGGTGGTTAGGGTTTTTGGAAAGTAAAGGGTTTTAAGGTTTCTTTTATTAAATTTTTTATATTTTCTTTGTTTCTTCTTCTTCGTAGCTCAAGGGAATGTAAATGAAATGCTCTCTTCTTTTCCACATTCGGAAGTGCGGGTTAAAGCTTAAAGGTTTTTTATCACGTGACTGGTGTGAAGGAGGCACGTGGCATTTTTTAAGCTTTGAGATTTGGTACTTCTCCAACATGTTTAGTATGATAGAGGAAGATAATCCTTTGTGAATAATTTGATATTTAAATGGAAATTAATTTTGTTTTATTATCATGTAATTAGGAACAGTATGAACTAAGAACTACCTATTTATGGTTTGCAACTTCACTAAAGAAATTTACATCTCAATCACACCGTGACATACAAATTTGTTCTATATGGAGAGATTAAATAGTGTTGATACGTGATTTTAACACCAACGAAACGCACGTAGGAAATGCTGAGCTGACTCAGAAGACACACATGAATGTGGGGATGTTGAGTTGATTATGAGATGAAGGACAATGTTTAAAGTAGTTCGGATGCTTAAACAAGCAAATCCTACGTTCATTGATATTGCATTAATATGCAGGATCAGGTTGCGTCTAGCGAACTGATTTAGAGCTTGGAGATTACAAGTGAGAGAGAGAGAGAATAAGCTATTACAGAGTGAAATTAGCTAATCCCACAAACAGAAGAGGAGCCCTCTATTTATAGTGAGATAAATTAAAACAATGATTATTGAATCCGTAAAAAGGGCGCAGATACCGTGTAAATCCTTCTTTGCGTCCTATTGTTCACCTACTCGAGTGATTTCCTCGGTTTATGCAGGAATTGGACACGTGGACCGTCTCTAGCCTTTCGTCAGTCTGGCGCGCACCCACTACACTGACAGAAACATGCCGCTTACATCAGCATACGACGTGACTGTGTCTGAATGGTTGTAAGACCTACCTAATTTCTAATCGCTTTATGCTGATTGGGTTCTGCGGTAGCTTTACTTTTTCAGGCATAACAAATAGGATTTGTTATTTGTTAAAATATATAATATCTCTACCAAATAGCCTCTAGTCTCATACAATTTTAAGAGAAATGACAACTTGCAGGTAGAGTTTTTGTTTACGGCCGAACAACATGTTCCCACCCGAAGTTTCCCCCAGCGACAATTTATTATCCAAAAAGTTTGAAAACGACCATGACTCACCAACCGTTGATTCTGTCTATTAACTTGAATCAAAGATGGATAAAATGGTAATTTTCCTCTCAAAACCACCCATTTGCCGACAATCGCCGTCAGCCTTTCAACTGCCTTTCGCCAGAATTCTCACCAATTTCGGCAAGAACATTCCTAGCCTTGATCTAAACCTTCTCAAGCCCCATCTGATCGTTTTTCTGGCCAAAATTGGTCGGATTCACATTGCTTTTGCGCAACCCACTCCCACCAACCGTTCGTGAAAAGCCCCCAGCCATCTCTCTGCACACCGCAGCTCCTATCTACGCGCGCATTGCAGCGCGCAATTTTAGCCAAATTGCGCCTAGCCAGGTGCGATTCCAACCAAATCACATTCGATTGGCACGATTCCGACCGGTCGAATAAGATCTGCGATTTGAATTCAAAGAAGAAAGGGTATTTTCATCTTTACCATTATTGTACCATGTCAGATAACGAAATTTATTAACCGATCTTAATGGCGGATGGGTAATTGTCAAACAGCTATTAACGGCTGACGGATAATTATCCATCTCAAACTTTTGGGTAGTAATTGTCGGTAGGGCAAACTTCGGGTGGGGACAGTCGTTTGGCCTTTTTGTTGAACCAAATTTCGATGTCAGCACATACACAAAGGGGATAAAATTTGGTTAGGATGTTATTTTGTTGAACAAACCAGAACAGTGCAATCTGAGAGTGAGCTGTGAAGAAATTCCTTCACTGATTACAATCATTATTTTACAATCAAAACCATAACAAATTTCTCAAAACAAAGAAGGGAAATACAGTATGTCCTCTGCCCTTTCCTCTACTCAAACCAAATTTCTCAGCAGTTTAAGCAAAACATGATATGATGCATTCGCCGGAAAACTACTTGGACTTGGCGGCCTCGTCTGGAACCTTGCTGTCTGGAACCTCGTCTACGACTCGAACTGGAATGATAGGTATAGAGTCCCACCATTCTTTTAGTCGCCGGTTGCCTTGGTCGTTTTCCAGGTGCTTCGCTAGCTTCGAGTTCATGATGAAGATGTACGACACAATTCCCAGTAAGATAAACTTGAATGGAATCACCGCTAGTACAACTGCCAACCCAGTCAGTGCCACCATCACCATATCTGCATGCTGCAATTGAATTCAATGGAAAAGAAATTGGAACAATAATCTGAATAGTTCATTAACATTGAACCTGCATTGCTGTTGAAAACACATAGATTAATACCTTGCGAGCCTTGGAAATCAATATAGACCATATTTTCAGAATTGTTATGTTGGCTGCCTGCAACATCTCCTGAACAGTTAGAAACCCATATTGAGCTGACACAATGCTATCCATTGTAGTTTGATCAGAAGCAGTGCACACTACTATCTCATTGCATTTCTCCGGTAGCCTTTCTCGTCTTGCTCGAATCATCTTTGCAACAACATAAAGCAAAGAAGCAGCCATAGCCTTGCCAAACCATTCCCTACATTTTCATTAGAGGTTTTACAAGTCATTTCAAGTGGTTCGGCATTAATCAGCAAACTAATGAAGATGGCTAACAATTAATGCAGTTTCCAAACTTACTTATAGACTATTAGTACAGTCGCAGCAATCGAAGTGAGGGTGGTTACTGGTCTTTCCCACGAAAGGGTTTCTTGAAACCAAGGTAAAACACTTTTAAGTGGCTTTAGTAGCTCCTGCAGCATTGAATCAAGAGTAACATCCTTATTAGAAACAAGAATAATCTAGATAGCACTTTCCGCCGGCATGAAATGGCAAATGAGAAGCATAAAGCATAATAGGGAAATCTAAAGAAACTTACCATCAAAACAAGAACATTTTCACTGAGCCCTTCCTCTTTCAACACCTCAGTGGTAGATTTAGCGATTTCAGTTTCCTTTGCTTCTTCTCTGACTTGATTAATAGCAGTCTCCAGTGTGGATGGACTGTCATCACTTATACTAGTATGTTCCTCTTCCACGTTTACAGTTGAGATGATTGACAGGTTCATACTTCTCAGAATTGAGCTACCACTGCAAGGATGTGCGCAGTTAACTTTCTTCAGACTATCCGCAAGCTCATCTAAAACATAGTCTCCCTTAGGCAACTCGTCATACAAGGCAAAAACCAAGAAATTTTTGGGATCTGGGGGTGATATTCTCAGCATTTCTCTTGCTGCATGAAGCCTTATGATGCCCAAAATTGTTCTCGCATGCATCTCCCATGCTTGTATTGGACATTCCACCTTGTATTTTGATAGGAATTGATGCATCAACAGAATCTCCTTCATGAGTGATAGCCAATGGTCACGTCTTGTGGAGCTTGTCATCTCTGGAAACTCGAGCACGATTCCCTCTGATCTAGAAAATAGGTGAGCAGAAGTTATTCACATTTCCAAGATTTATCCTATAACTTTACAGGCATTAATAGTTGGCAAATCCTTGATCATATAATAGTAAAATAACCAAGCCAGTACACAAATTCAAAGTGCCAACCATTTTATAAAGCAGAAAAACCAAAGGTTATAATCACATTCAGTGTATCATAAATCATATCTCGGTCACTAGCTCCGGCAAACAAAGAGTACAATCATCCTTACAGTTCAGGGGACTCGTAGACTATGGCCTTGTCAAAAAGTGGAACACCCCAAGGACCTGTGGCAGCTGGTTTTACAGTGTGTTCAATGTCCTTTGAAAGTTCAATCTTCAGTGCATCCTCATATGTTATCACACCAGAAGCCTCAAAGTAGAGAGCATAATTTGTCAGTGTGAGCCTACCTAGAAAAACAACAATTATAGTTAGTAATAGGAGCAAGAATCAATGGATAAAAAATTAAAAGACATTAAATTTTTAGCATATAATCATGCAAACAGATCAGACAAACCAGGCCAACTCGTTTTCCCAATATGCCGCACCACTCTCTGAGAGCCTGCAGTTCCCTCCACATGCAGTATAAATTCATCGTCAGCTAGCTCCACGTTCTTTGGAGTTCCTTGTTTTTGCAGATGTTTTATGCATCTATGAAATCAGGAATTTCGAAGTAAAAAAAAAAAAAAGGAGTTGGAAGAGCTCTTTGAAGATGCAAATGATATCTATGCAGACAATTACTTCCAAGCTAACTAGAAGTGAGGTGAGGGGCCTCCATTTGTTTTTCAAGCAGAAAAATGTTCAAATAAGTTCCAATCAAACATTTGCAGAAAGAGTTGAACTAAAATGTAAAATCTGTTGAAATTCTACATACAAATAATATTTGAGGTTTCCCTTCCTCGTCTTTGTATTTTACAGAAACCAAATGGGTGCATGAAAGAGTTGAATCCATTACTTGTCAATCTCTTTTAAGAATATATCATATGCCGGAAAATGGAGCCGGTATCCTGTCGCTGCTGTAAGAGCTTCAAATGTAAATCTCCCATTAACAACATCTGCAACTAGTGGAACTAATGATCCCAACCACACAAATGCATCTTCTCCAACACTTTGCTTAGAGTCAACCTAAATATTGAGAGGAACATTCATAAAAAATCAAAACAAAAAGCAGCTATATATTATCAATCATGTCACTTATATATCTAGGCTCAGTCATACAGGGAATGAACACAGAGAAGTCCATGTTCGCAAAAAGTTATTAGTTTTCCGCAAAGACAAATGCTCGATCTGTATACTGCACTGTATTACAAGGGAAAAGAAGAACTCTTACTAGCAAAGGCATGAGGTCTGTATAGAAGAGAGGAAGTTCATCTTGTTCTGTAACAGGTGCCCTTCTCTCCTCCTTTTCCTTTCCCACACATTCCTGCATAACCAAAATAGTGTAAATTAGAGGGAGGAATCAACAAATTCAGTGCCAGTACTTAAAAGCATAATTAAAGGAGAAATAATTCCATAGTGTAACAGAAATGAAAGCAGATTTAGATAAGTATCGGTGATAAAACCAATGTTACTCAACTGATAAAGAATTTATATTTGTATTAAGATAAGTATCATGATCCACTCTCTGTGCTTTATACAGGCGCAAACTGATTCCTCTTTTCCTATGACAATAACTGCACAAACCCATATTGAAATGATAGAGGGAGGAAATTGCTCACCGCATGAGACTCTTCATCCTCTGAACTAGGCATCTCCCAAGCAAGCATCATGTCGAATGTGAGCCGACCAAATGATCCATCACTAATTTTTTCTTCTATGTTCTGACACATGTCAGTAAGAACCTTTGCACTGCAATATTCCACAAATTTCCTAGAATAGCTGCCTATTTCAGGTTTCCATTCAGCTTCAAACTCCTCCACCAATCTATCAACAGAAGTGTCCAGTTTCCTGCCAGAGATATTGTGCAACAAGCATTTTTATATCATTATTTCATTATTCTGGCAATGACATTACAACAAACTGAAACCAATACCAATTTTTTGCTTAATTATTCAATGCAACAATGTACTAGTTTTGGATGAATGTATACATATCTATCCTCTTTTCAACTATTATATATAAATTGCCGCCTCCATTTCACCTGTAATGTTTTTAACAAATCGACAATCATGTTGCTTCTATACAAGAAATGGGGTAATAAGACTAATACGTACGTGATGGTTCTGCCCATGAACTTCCTACTGTAAGCCTTCAAATTGGCAATTATTCTCCCTAAAAGACAGTGATCGACTAAACAGAATCAATGTCAAAGGATTTCCCACTATCACTCTTCATCAATTGAGAACTGGTAAGGAGTACACCCTTGATTCAACTAACTAGAGCCTATTCAACACTTGAACGTCTGAAAAAACTTAAATAGATAGAACCCTTCATGTGCTTCTGCAATGAAATGAAGTTGCAGGTGAACAAAAGCCTTTCAGTAATCATTTCTAAACACATCCTAGTAATAATCATATAATCATTATTATTAATTAATTAATTAATTAACATGTAAAAACACAATTAAACATCATCTTGATTGCCAAAACACTTAAATGGTTATCAAGATTTCGGCATCAGAGGTTTCCAATCAAGCAAAAAAAGCCTTGCACTTGAATAACAAATTGTTTATATAAAAAAAAAACCAGATAGCACTTGGCCACAATTATACGGATAAGAATGATCTTCATACTATTGTTCTAAATAAAAAATATATAAGAAAAGTAGTAAAGGAAAAGAGAGAGAGAAATATACGATGCACATCTCTGAACAACATGGTTGGCAATGGAGGACAAATGCTTCTTCTTTCTCTCCATAACAATGGTGGATGCAAATTCAGAGTTACGAGCGCTGAAACCTCCTCCTTTAAGAAGGGAGAGTTTAAGAGGTGTTTCTTCCTCACTCTGCCACGTTAGGCTCCCATGCATGCAAAGTGCAAACACATGCCATCAAATGATCAAGTGTAACTTACACAAACGTCATTTCTTTGGATCTTTGCAATCATTTTGGACCGACTCAACCCAAGACCCGAAACTTACTCCTCCTTTTTTAGTTTTCAAATAATTATTTTTCTCCTTTTTGTTTTTTAGTTTTCATTTTTTTTTCCACGAAGAAAATAGAGAGAAAAACTCAAACATAAAAGAAAAATTAAAAAACTTACCTTTTTATGATTAATTTTCTTCCCATTGATTGGATCCACGTTTCAAAAATATTTTTAATCGTAAAAACATAATTTATAACTTATTCTAAACATAGTTTAAAAGAAAATAATAGTAGAGTTTAAAGAAAGAAATAAACGTAGTTTAAAAGATTATAAAGAAAATAGAGTTTTAAAAAAGAAATGGTCTTTTAAAAAAAAAATTGAGATATATTAAGAGAATAAAAGACCCTTTTGATAATTAAACTTTTAGAAAAATATATATTTAAAAAAATATTATTGGGGTTTAAATAACACCACACACAAAATTAAATGAATAATATTACACTGTCTAAATAGTATTCTAAATTTTCTATCTCAAGTTATACATCGTCTTATGTAATTTTTATGTGTAAATAAAAAGATGAGATGATAAATGATATATAAACACCATATAAAATGATATATCATGTGAAATAAAAAATTATAAATTTTATTTGAAAAATATAATATTATTCAAAATAAATACAAAGCATTTCCTTAAAATGCTCTAAGATTGAGACCTATATGAAGTTTATATTATATTTTACATATCCATTCTCATTTAATTTTCTGTAAATTTTTATTATTTTCATTTAATTTTTCTTTTCAATATTATATATAAATAATACTGTAGGCTAAGTGTGACGTTACTACAAGAGCCCCAACATATTGGCCAGGATTAAAAAGATTTGCTGCCTTTCGTTGATTTTCAGGATCAAACCTTGGGACCAGTTTACCTAGGTATAACATTGTGGTTTAAAGTGTTTAATAGACATCGAAAATTAGTTAAGGTCCTTTGGCCTAGACTAGGGGTGTTTAAAAAAATACAAAAATTGAACCGAACTGGTAACTAAACCGAATTTTTGGTTAATCAAAAAATCGATTTGGTTTCGGTTTATAGAAATTGAAAAACCGTATTTTCGGTTTGGTTACTGGCTTGGGAGAAAATGCAAACCGGTTAATCGAAAACAGTTTTACTAACCAGTTTACAATATATATATATATTAAATTAAAATATTAAAACAAAAATCCCTAAACCTAAATCCCCTTTACATATGTATGAATGTTTAATTTTTATTTGGATATGTATTATTGATGTTTACAATTTAAATCAAGAAAAAAAATATTAGTTTAAGCCTCAAGGGGAAAATCAATTCAAAACCAGTTAATCAGTTTTTCATAAGCGGTTAACCGATTCAGTTTTGATTCAAGAAAATTCTTGAACAGAAAAACCTATTCGGTTTAAGAAAACGGTTTTGGACCAATGTTCTATGCTACATGTATTGTATCTCAGACAAACCGTGAGCTCATGAAAATTAATTTATAAGGTAATTTGAGCTTTTAAGTATTTAAAATTTAAGTAGTTATGTATTTAGTTAAAGTACTTATAAATGATTAATAAGTAGTTGATATGTTTAATAAAATGTGATTTATACGTATATTTTATTATTAAAATAACTAAAAATAACACTACATTTAAAAAAATAAAGGTATATGATTAAAATTTAAAAATTTAAAAAAGATATTATAATAATATACTTAATCAAAATAGCTTATATACAAAATACTTAGAAGCTAAAAGAAAAAAATACCACTCCTTAACTTATTCCTTTTAGCTCATAAGTCCAATTTTTATACTAAAAAATGTTATAAATAAGCTATTCGACTTAATTTTAAAAATTTTAAGCGAATTTGACTGGCTTATATAGACAAATACCTCTATAATATCGTGCTTATGCTTTGAAATAGGTGGTGAAGATTCGCTGACCGTGGTCACCTTTACTCTTGAAGCTTAAACCCCTGAAACCCCAATCCGACTCGTCTGAGTGGACTCGTCTCCTTTCCCTTACAGGGTTTCTTTCCGCGGCTTACGAATTCCACTTCTGTTTGGCAATCATGAGGTAATCTCAATAACTTGATTGAATAATTTGATGAAGATATATTTTGCTTACTTAATTAAGTTTGAATTTCAGTCGGCATCCGGAGGTTCTTTGGGCTCAACGATCTGATAAGCTTTATCTAACCGTTGCGTTACCTGACGCCAAGGACATTTCTGTCAAATGTGAGCCTCAAGGGCTTTTCACTTTCTCGGCTGTTGGAGTTCAGGGCGAATCCTTCAGCTTCTCTTTGCAACTTTACGGGAACATTGTGCCTGAGGTAACTTCACTTCATCAATTGCTTTTGCTTCTTTCAATTTAAGAATCGAGTAATTGATGTTTGAGGTTGGTGCAGAAATGTAGGACTAAAGTTGGGTTAAGGAACATTATATGCTCCATTCAGAAAGAAGAGAAAGGTTGGTGGAAAAGGCTGCTCAAGTCTGAAGAGAAACCTGCACCTTACATTAAGGTTGATTGGAACAAATGGTGCGATGAGGATGATGAAGAGTCGGAGTGTAAGTTCGTAAATCCTTTCCATTGTTCTTAGCTTTTGATTTTATCCAAAGTTCTTAATCCTCTTTGCTATATAGTGCCATTAACTCATTTTCTTGTTCTCTCTAACTTGATAAAAACTAGATCATTTTCCGTGTTATCTAATTCAACCTATAAATCTACTTCTTGTGCCAAGGTTGTCATGTCAGTATTGTTTTCCATGTTGACTTTCATTGTGTGTCCCTGTTTCTAATCTAAACCACTGGATGGAAGAGGAGAGAAAAAGACTCTAGAGAGTGAAATTAAGCAGTTTTTGCTCGTCTGACGATCATAACAGAATTGCAATTTTTCATTTAACATTAGGGAATGGTAACTTCTTAGTCTCGTAAGAGGACAGGAGTAGACGAATAACAGGTTTCAGCATTGGGACATGAGGAGGCAGGGACTACAGAAAATGTTAACTAAGGGACGAGAAGGTGCATAGGGTGAGAGAGCGAGGAAGAATATTATTTGATGAGATGAATACTTAACATGAGACATGAGAGAAAGCTTGTGGCAGAGAGTTGCCAAGGATAGCAGATACATGCTTGATTAAGCCATGGAAGGCTTTAGAAGGAGAGGTGATGCTAAGAGGATTTTAGGTTTGAAGAACATTCTTGAGTGTTTCTTTTATACTTTTGTATCGCGTCTCCCGGATAGTCTAGACCAGACGTTTTATAAAGGCATATATGGTTGCTGATGTGCTTATGAACATCTGTTTACTCATTTAAAAATAACCTTAGTATATAAGGATGTGAATAGGTGGCTCTCATACGTACTAAGTAAAACGAGAACAGTTTTCTTTTTCTTTTTTTTGGGATGTGTTTGTGGAGATTGAAAGGTTACTGGAAGATCCAAATTTGTTAATTCCTTAAATACCTTTGTTTCTGGTGTATCTCTAGTCTATTACTTGGTTTGTTCCTCTCTACTTGTGTCTAGGCAATACCCAATTACTTTCTGTTAGCATCTATCATTTGTCACATTCCATATGCCAGTCACATTACTTTTCCTGCATTATTATACCTCCATCAGCCTAGTTTTGGTTGGCCTGGTTTGCAGATAAGTGTCTTTCCCCCTCTGTAATGCATAAAGAGTGATTAAGTTTTATTTAGATGGCTATCAATTAAGACATCCTCATGGAAAATTAGGATGAGAAGAGTTTGGTAATATTGAATTATTATCACATGGTAAAACGCTGTTTATTATTATCATCCAATCTTGTTGCGCTCTGATAATAAATCTTGCTAAATTTTAACATTTGGGCTAAATGTATGAATATTGTGACCAAGTGCATTCAATTTACATTATTTTGTACTTTGACATGATTACTGTGAAATGAATATGAAAATAACTGCAAAGAACATGAATTCTGTGTGTGAAAGAGTGCGGTCAGAGCCCATCCTAACTCTTTCGCAGCTTGGTTTTAATTTAACCTGATGCATGGAAAGCATTACGCAACATAGAACTTTCTTCTTATTCTTTAATGGTGGCAATGTGCCATGACCATATTGTTCTTGAATATTTATTCNAATATTGAATTATTATCACATGGTAAAACGCTGTTTATTATTATCATCCAATCTTGTTGCGCTCTGATAATAAATCTTGCTAAATTTTAACATTTGGGCTAAATGTATGAATATTGTGACCAAGTGCATTCAATTTACATTATTTTGTACTTTGACATGATTACTGTGAAATGAATATGAAAATAACTGCAAAGAACATGAATTCTGTGTGTGAAAGAGTGCGGTCAGAGCCCATCCTAACTCTTTCGCAGCTTGGTTTTAATTTAACCTGATGCATGGAAAGCATTACGCAACATAGAACTTTCTTCTTATTCTTTAATGGTGGCAATGTGCCATGACCATATTGTTCTTGAATATTTATTCCTGCATGTTCTGCTTGTGCTGTGCTGTTACAGTTGTCCATGCTGGGACTGTTACCATATTGAAGTTTCTGTCTGTGCAATAATTTTACTATATTTTCTTGTTAATGCTATGTCAGGCGTCAATTTAGAATTTGCATTTCTTGTTATGATAAAGAATTGATATTGGTTGCTTATTGGTAAAATAGCAGCACTTAGTCAGATTCTATTTGCAGAGTATTGCAATGGACCTTGAGGTCTTAGTCTTACCATCAGCACTGAGAAAATTTAAAGTTTCATCTTGTCCATCATCAAGATAGGAATGATGTGTTATGGAAAAATTCTGGGGCTCATCTAGATTTCCTTTCAGGGAAGTGTGAACAGTGAGAGATTCTGTTTCTAAATGCTGGATCATAATCAGTCGTTGAAAATCAAAATGATGCAATGTACTGTTATATGATAGTATTTCTGAAATTTGACAATCTTTGCTTTAATGTCTAACAAGGTTGTGTGCGGCAGCAGTGGCTAACTATCCACTCTATACCTTGATGATGATATTTTATATATTATTTGCTTTTTCTTGTTTGATTGTCCATAAGTACTGATTACTAGATTACTTTTTCACTCTTGAAATTTAGACCTTAAAACGTTTTGTAGTGATTCTAGCTGGGATCTGACTGGAATTCTTTGTGGTATTTACAGCTGATTTGGCCTCTGATGATGATGATGCTGCGGTAATTTGTTCACTTTGCTACTTTCCATTGAAATAGAGTGACAATGACTATATTTTTACATCACAATAGTTTTCCACAATCATGTAACTTGGATTTTAATTTTGCAGTATGCTGGTCAAGATGATGAAAGCAGTGACGAAGAGGGAATGCTCTGTGAGTTTTTGACCAATTGTTACATTGAATTAAATTATAAATAATTACTTGCTTGCATTTCCCTTTTTTCTTTTTTTCTGATACTGTTTGGTATGCCTTACAGACCTCCCTGACTTGGAAAAGGCAAGAGGAAATTGATACTAACTAGTAACATGGAAGACAAACCTTTCGATCTGTTATGCCGTTCATTAGTACACGAGGGGAAATCTCCGTTCTTGCAATGACGACGATTATCATAACGTAGTCTGTATATATATATATACACCCTATCTTATCTGTGCTGAGAAAGCGTTTGTTTGCTTAATGATTTTCATAGTTGGCTATTAACTAGATTTTAATATGATTTCTGATAGCTTGTTGGGAGTATATGTTCCTTTGAGGCAGATCTTAATTTACGACTGTGCCTTACATATGGTGCATTCAAAATAAAAATCATAAAAAGAAATTGACACAAACTCGTCAAAATATAACATATGGGTTTAAGAAAAGGGACTCAAATAATATTATGAATTCTAAGTACACCCATTGTAATTTTATTATCTTAAACCTTTATCTATTTTGCATAAAATCGTAAATCTAAATTATTATTAGTACATTACCATTGAAATCGTTTGTTTAATGGAAAAAAAACTTCCATTTTTCAGATTTCACACCAGTTAAAACTGAGATTTTGATTCTAAAGAGGACATGTGAGCAAGGGGTGTAAGGAAAAATTCCAATTAAGGTTTGAAGGGTATTTTGGGTATTTAATGGGGTTTTAAAAGAAGTTTTCAAATTTAAAGTGGGTGTAAATAGTAATTGGGGGTTCTGATTTAATTGGTGGCGGCTAAAAATCACTTCTCCTTCTTGTAATCTTTATCGGCCCATAGTAGGCCCAACACAATAATAGAATGGACTGATGCCAGCCCAACCAGTGACTCTCTTACCATTAGTCGTAACTCGTAACTATAAATACCTAAATCGTAACTCAATTCACACAGACGAGTCAGCAATGGCCAAGGAGTCTGATCTCCCTTCCATGATTCGTCTCAACATTGGTTCGTAATTCTCTTTCTTCAATCTATACAATTTACAAATCTTTTACAATTAAATGCACGTTTTGGCGCACATGCACTCTTCTTAATTTGAGATTTTTCTTTTACTTTCTTATCCTTGCAAAATTATACAGAATTTGATTAGATGTTTAAGCAATGTAATAAACCCTAGTAATCTTAGTCTCTCTTTAGCTAAGATTTGGTACTATACACTCTTCATTGAATTTAATTATCGCAATTTACTCTTTGATTACTTTCTGTTTGGTTCCCGAGAAAGGATAGGAAAATATTTGGTTTTAACTTTTGTGTTCTCTCTTTATATGTATTCTTTTCAGCTTTGAAAGATGTGTGGAATTTTTTCTACTGAACTAATTAGCTCTATGTACTGCAATTTCTGTAGCTTTTACTTTTTGCTGAGTTTGGTGAATTTTTTTTTCTTTTCTTTCATTTTATTGACACCTAAGTATATGATTTTTAATGATTGACTTATTGTGGTTTATTGAAATAAATAATTTTTGTTTTATTAATGTTGTGTTAATGTGCAGGGGGAAAGAAATTTTGTACAACAGTTGATACTCTGACTCACCGTGAGCCTGAGTCTATGCTTGCAGCGATGTTCAGCGGACGCCATACTGTGTGCCAGGACTCTGAGAAGGTATAAGTAACATTACCTGATAATATCAATAAATTTTCGGTTGTTTCGATGTGATTTTCCTTTGTTCTGCATTGGATATCACTTCTCTGAGTTATGTTTATAAAATTTTGTACTTTCATCATATTGAGTTTGCAGGGATACATCTTTGTTGATAGGGACGGAGAACATTTTCGGCATATTCTCAATTGGTTGAGAGATGGTGTTGTTCCCACTTTGTCAGAGCCTGAATATTCAGAGCTTCTAAGGGAAGCAGAATATTATCAGCTACTTGTAAGCCATAGTTTCTATTCTTATTTGAAATGAATCATTATTGTTGTTCCTGTCAAGTGCATACTAAATGGATATATATCCTTGCATCTTTAAATTTTATGGTTGAGATTTGAGTTCCCATGGGATTATAACAATATGTTTCTGTTGAACTTCTGTCCTTTCGTTTTTGTCTTCACATTATTCTCTTAAAATTAGTGTGAGTTATTGTTTGGTTGCATTTTCATTTTAAAGCAACTTCATTTAGATCCTGTATTTAATTTATAAAAACATGAGGGATTTCAATATGTTTTAAAAAAGGAATTCAGCCAGCCAAAGAAGACAAATTCCAGATAACATTACTTTGAGCCTGATGAGTGGTTTTACAAAAGGATTGCCAGCTTGAAAATTCATATTAATGGGAACACGTATCAATACGGTAGGTGAATCAAGAAAGAGAAGTTGGTACGCTACTTGAAGTGAAACTATGTACAATTGTATGTAAGCTTCTTTGGCTCACTTAGGCAAAATGTAATACATTCACACGAATGTAGAACACCCTTTTTAAATTTGTGACGCTCATACACACAATCTGAACGCTGATTTCTTTATAAGCTTAAATATTGGTTTTCTTGTTATTCAATACCTAATTTAAACTTTTGATGCTATGCTCTTATAGAGATTTTTCATTGTTCCTATGAGGTACATTTTAATCTATTAGGTTTTTTGTGATAATGATGAGAACAGAGGGGAATGATGAAAGCATTCCAAATTGCAATAGCTAGATGCTCTAGATTAAGTTTTCCAAATTAGAAATCGATGATACAGACCTTTTGTAACTTTGCTTTGTATTGCACAACTTTAGGATCACAGCTTGAAAGAGGTGCTGGGTTGTGTTGGCAAGTCAGATATCCAAAATCTGTGTTCTTTTGTATCTTAAGAGTGATCATTTCAGCACAAATCGTACTTTGACCCAATTGACAATTTCATATGCCCTTGATTTATATTCTTTCATATTAAATGAGAGACCTTTCTGGTTTCATGTTATGTTTTGGTCCTGCTGAATCTTTGTTGGCAAAATAACTAAGAGGATAATTACATGTATGTCAGTGTGATGTGGTTATCTAATCTTGGTACACATTATTCTGATACGACCATTGTTCCTTGTATTTCACTTTTTGTTTATTGAAACAAGTCAATTGCTGCAACAAACATTGTATGATTCCTGTTGTTGTTCTTGAATATGTTGAATCTTACATGCTTGATTTCAGGGACTGATAGAGAGAATCAATGCTGTTTTCAATAAGAAAAAGGAAGACAGTGAGCCAGATTCTGAATTGACACGCACTGATATTATCAAATGTATACAGTCTGAGAGAGTCAGATTTCGAGGAATTAATCTCTCTGGCCTTGATCTTTCTAAACTGGTAATTATTTGTCAATACAGATGCTTGAAAGATTTCCTATCAAAACACTCGTGGTTACACGCTGTCTAGAGTTTAGATTCTTAAGAATGCCTTGGGATTTGCGGATTTGTGAACTTGCTCAGCTAGTATTTGATTTATAGAGAATTTGTTTTATTTGCTTATAGAAGGTTGGGAGCATAATTTGTTTCAGTCACTGTAATTACTTTAGACTTTTTTAGGCTTCTCTGTAAGCATATTGAAGAACAGTCTGTTTATTTTCTCTGTCTTAATTCTATTTGATTATTTTTATTCTATAAATCGTAGACTTATTAGTGGTAGCTTAATTTAATTGGTCCCAACTTCCCTCAAATGGTGAGAGATTTCAGAATAAATGTTATAGTTCCTAGATAGTGCTTGTTCTGAAGCTATCTTATTGAACATATGCAGGATTTGTCATTTGTAGACTTCAGCTATGCTTGTCTTAAAAATGTTTTCTTCTCACGTGCAAATCTTCAGTGCGCAAAATTTCGGGTAGGTTTACTTTTAATGATTAATACTTTAGTATATCTGCCATGAGCACATAATTTTATAATTTTCTTAAGTTGGTCATCATATGCATTTGAAGTATGAATTTAATGTGTAAGGTGAGAATGATACAAATATGGTTTCTGTCTTCAACACTTTACAACTTAATCCTGATTGATTAATCCTACTGAATCCTTTTGTTCTCATCACAGGATGTAGATGCTGAGAGTTCCATCTTTCACAATGCGACTTTGCGTGAGTAAGATAACTAAGCCAATAGTCAATTTTATTATCCTGTTATATTCATCTTTATAAACTGCCTATTAAAGATTTTATTTTGCCTAGGGAAGATGTGAATTTACTGGGGCTAATCTCCGTGGAGCTTTATTAGCTGGTGCTAGTCTTCAGAGTGCAAACCTACAAGGCAAATTTTTTCCTTTGCTCTGAATAACTTAATTACTAATCCTGAATTTATTGCTATTATTACTGGCTTCAGTATTATGTCAGTCCCATTTCTCGTACATTTTACTGCCTCATAATATCTCTTTCTATCTAGTTTGTGCCTATTTGACATTATACCAAATAACAAATTTTAAATTTTCCATATTGCTACATGGCCACCGTGTTATAATCTTGGTTAAGAAGGAAACAGTGACTGTATCATCACTTCTTAGAGTTGCAGTTACAATCTTGGTTAGGAAAAACACATGGTTCTAATATTTAGCTGTAGGAATGATAAAGAATGTAAAAGCTTTTACTGCCGCAATCTTAGTTATTTCACTTAGTCTGGTAATTTCCAGCAGAATAGCACTTGGTTTTAAAATTCTATTGTTACATTGCAGATGCTTCTCTGATAGACTGTAGCTTCTGTGGAGCAGACCTGCGATCTGCACACTTGCAGGTTCAGTGTTTCTTTAATCTTTATAGAATACACTTCCCTTATTGTTGCAGCAGGTTGTTCTTCTTCATGGTCTTATTGAACAGTTTTTACTAAGCCAGGAGCTATGGTATATCCAGTCAGTATTATAGCTCAGCAGCATTTGTTTGAGTGGGGCATGCTTTACTTGTGTGTTATCTGCATATCCATCTTAACACTAACAATTGTGACAATTGTATTTAATAAACTTTTTTCTTATGCTTCATGTTCTCAAATTTTTACGTATCCATGATATTTTGAATCTAAAACCTTTTTTGTTAACTAGGTTTCCCTTCTTCCAGGAAGAAATTTGATACAGTTTTAGTCACATGGTAATATGTCTATCCTCTTGACTTTTCAGAGTGCTGATCTTACGAATGCCAACTTAGAGGGAGCTAATTTGGAAGGAGCCAATTTGAAGGTAAGATTATAGTGTCCCTGTGCATTTTGTTTGTGGATCAATAACAACGTAAGGTGCAAAAAATGGCACACACTTATAGGAGTTAAATGAAGAAAAAAATGGCAGTCTTCATTAATTTCTCAGATATTGGGTGTTGGGTGCAAGTCTTCCTGTGCAAGCATGACTTTTAAACATGCCAACAGTCCACAATTATGTGTGTGTGTGTGGGGACCAGGTGTTCACTCAATCAGTCTACACAAAAATGATATGTTTTACTTCATCATGATTGGGGCAAAAAAAAAAAAAAGTATATGATTTGAAGTGTTATGGCTTAGTGCATATGATTGTTTTGGTTTATATGAAATGCTAAACAATCTTGAGTTGGCAGTTCAACAATTCTGAACTTACTTTGCTAGTTACGTTGGTAAATCTGTACTGCTTTCATGGATTGAATTTGTCGAAGATTGAAATCTTATGTTTCAGGGTGCAAAGTTGACTAATGCCAATTTAAAAGGCGCAAACCTTCAACGAGCTTATTTACGACATGTTAATCTTCGAGACACGGTGAGTAAATTTTAGCCGACTTTCAAATCTTGTGAATTGCTTTATTGTTAACATGTATCAAAATAATTAGTACTGAGAACGGGTGAGGTTTTAACAGCATTTGGAAGGTGCAAAGCTGGGTGGTGCCAATTTGCTTGGAGCTATCCGATGACATTGAACCGGAAATGTATGTATCCATCCAATAGAGGTTGGTTTTATTACTGTCATATGTGCATATATTCTTTTCCTTTACATGTATGCCAACAGTTCTCTTGTGATAACGAAGAATGAATGATGTACAAATTGTGGAAAAGTTTAATGTAATTTAATTTGTTGTCGAGTAAACCAAACCAAGCCATTTGCACTGCCATTTACATATCCCATTTGAGGAAGGGGACGTGGGATTGGGATCTCTGAGCCTCAGTTCATTTCTATAAGTTAGAATTTTCTAAAATTATTTTAATGGTATCTTTGACGTTTCTTAAAAATCTCGAGAGTTTATAACAGTATTTTCAAATAATTCTTTATATGATTCAAACTTTTTATTATAAAGAGTTAATTTATAAAAACAAGAATTTAATATATTTTTTATTCTTTAAATATAAATTAAAGAGTGAGGTTGACTCTTTATATTTAGAAAAATCAAATTTCATTCTCTATTTTATTTTTAATTAATAAATTACAAGTATGTATTTTATTTATTAATGTTCTCTTCTATTAAGTCTCTTTCTTGAAAAAAAAAATTTCTTCCTATTTATTAATTCTCTCTCCTATTAAATCATAAATACTTTGGGAAAAAATGTAAAATGAAAATTTTAAATTTAAAGAGTATTGAATTTGAATAAAAATTTTGTTTTTTTATTGGGGATGCTCTAAAAAAGGGAGAGCAAAATTTTTTCACCCAAGGTTTGGCTAAATCATACTTTCTCACCCATCAAGTTTCAAAATGACATTTGCCTACTCTTTGTCAAGTTTTATTATGTTTTCTGTTAATATTTGATTGAAAAGACGAAAATACTCTTAAATATTTGATTTTATAAAAAAAAAAAAAATTATCTTTGAATTAGCCAAAAAGAAAGATATTAAAAAGTAAAAAAAAAAAAAAATAGCTAATCCCAACTAAAAAGTAAAAGAGTGATGCTATGGAATTGTTTAAAGTTAAATGACCTTAATATTTATTTATAATGTCATAAAATATTTTATCACCATTATTCAATAATCTACTAATATAATATTTTTTATTTTCACTAAATAACGTAGAAAATCTTAATAGTTAATATTTCTAATTAATTAAATAAATAAATGAAAAAATATATCTTTACATTTGAGTATAGACTTTAACTTCGCTAAATTTTAATTTATAATAAACTAATTAAGAAATAAACTATTTGAGGATATTTTTGTCTTTTAATCAGATATTAACAAAAAATATTAATAGAACTTGACAAATGCTTTAAAACTTGATGGGTGCGCAAGTGTCGTTTTGTCAAACTTTGGGTGGGAAAATGTTGTTCTCCCTCTAAAAAACTGTAAATTTGAACTTCCTTTGGTTGCAAGCTGGCGATTAAAAAAAAGAATTTTAACATTGAATAAAGTCTTCTAGTTAATCGGCATTAATGAATAAAGTCCTCTAGTTGATGGGCTTTTAACCTACTGTTAAGGCTTTTATGACCATATCGAAAACATCTTTGGATAAATGAGGATAAGATTTTATGACAGCTTTGACTCCTTTTAATGTCATCCGTGGCTATGAGACGACTTGATATTTCCATGGATAGAAATCACTCTTAAGGGATGAACTTCAATTGCTAAGAATTTTCAAAGAGTGTTCTGGAATTTATTGATCAATGACATCAGTGGGTACTGGATGTGCCTCTAAAAAGATCTTAGCCGTTGATGCCTAATATGAGACGTGAATCAAGCACTAGTTAAAATACACCAGTTTGTTACCCTCTGGATCAGAAGCTTCTACAGATCCCTAATTTTTCCGTTGTATAAAGGTCAAATTAATAGAAAATTTCAATAATACTACCAAATTGGTAGACTGTCGGCAACACACTGTACATATTCCACGTGTCAAAACGTGAAGCAAGGAATAAAGAATTTTTTTTACCGACATAAATAAAATAAAATAAAATAAAGAAGGAATAAAGACGGGGATGGCCCCCATTCTGTATTAGCTCATTGTTTACGGTGATGAAGTGATTGGATACAAATGTCAGAATCACGTTAAATCACAGAGAAAGTTATAAATATCGTCCTGGTACTATAGCCTTATCAGATCACCCCCAATCAATGCCTTTCCTTTATGCCTTATCCACATCTCCTCTATTCTATCAAATACCCTCTTTCTGTTAATCTAATAAACTTTCTCCGACAATCTAATTTTTTTTTTGTAGTTTTCGTAATTGGTCAAATGATGAGTTGTCACTTCAAAATTATGATTTTTTTTTTTTATAAAATTAGATAATAAATCAATCTTTTATTTTACAACAAAAGAGTAAACTGAACTTGAAAGTTCGATCAATGTTTTATTTTTTATAATTAAGAAGAATCATTTTTAAAATAACTATTAATAGAGATAATTAGTGATTTTAAGATCTCAAAAGATTAATTAAAATATGTATAAATTAATTCGAATACCTCGATAATAAAAAAATAATAATAAAACAAGACAGTAGAACCTCTCTATAGTGATATTTTATATAGGAATAACTTTTATGTATTCATAAAAAATATTATTCCAACTTGTGCTAGTTATAAATAAAAATAAATTTCACATTATAATAAGTTATAATTTTTTTAGGCCCCGAACGCTTGCCTCCACATAGTAATAAGTATATGTATATTACAAAAAATATATGTTATGTTACATAAAGGTTTAAGATGAAATAAAATATTTATCTAAAGTTGTTTGGAACAATGATTATGTTTTAAAGTTGTTACCACATTTTTTTTTCTTGTGGATACTTAATAAGCCGCTACCATGGACACTTTCTTATTGAAACCAAAATATTTCTAGCTTTCAAGCATGTTTAGAGCTTCTTAGCATGAAATTTTTTGTATTTTTGTACTATCATCCTCGAATTCATCTCATTCCTCTTCTTGTCTAATTCCAGTAATGATTTCTTTTTCAGTTAAAACATACACGACTTGTTATTTATCTAGATTATTGAGAAATATATTAATATCCATTTAATTAGTGTAATGAAGTTGTCGAATTTGATCACTCAATTTTACAGTGACTCTTTAATATTCATTTTTGTACTATTCTAATGTTATTGAAACAATGAATTAAAATCTTAGTACTAATAAACTATAAATTATAAAATTAAAAATTAAAATAATAATTTTTATAACTATACTATTATTAAATTATAACATTTTTATAGTTATAAAAAAAATGTTATAATTTTAATTACCACAATATTATGAACATGGGGAGATTTTCTATTAAATTATAATATTTTTATAATTATAAATTTAATTACCACAACATTAAGAATATGGAGAGGTTATATTTTATTTGCAAGGACACGAACTAAAAGCATTAATGTAAGAAGATGTTTAACTACTACCTATAAGCCGACAATACATTTGTTGTCTTTATTTGACACGTGTCTGCATATTGTGAATCTCATCTTTTCTTAATATAAATATATAATACCACTGTCACTTTGTACATCAGCGCGCCGCGTACACGTATTATGGGCATTTACGTAATTCACTCGTACACCACCGGATAATCTTCTTTAATCAAATCTTATTGTTGTTACTGTCATACTAAAATAACTAATTTTGTTTCTAAAATATTTATTTCCCCTAAAGTTTGTGCTTACTATCAAATTCACCCCTTATAGAGTTACATTAAAGATTACACAACCTAATTTTATAAACTTTCTCTTATAACTTTGACGTGATAATTCATAATTAATCAATTCATAATTAGACAGGTAAAATTCATTCTCAACTGACCAATTACGAGTTACCATGTCGAGATTATGAAAAAAAAATTATGAGATTGAAATGTAAATATAAACTATAGATCGTATAGTATTGCCCATAGAGTTATAGTTTAAAATATAAGGGGTCTTTATGATATTTATAAAAGCGATAAGGATAAAATTGTAATTTAAAAGGATTCAAAGATATTTATCTCAAACTTTCCCTATAAATAGAAATCAAGATATGCATGAGTTTTCATACCAACATTCATTACTCGTAGGTTTTTTAATTGATTGAAAGCAAATCAAGAAACAAAATGTCAGGAACTATCAACAAGGTTAAGGAGACTCTCCACATGGGAGGGCAGAAGAAGGAGGGCGAGCAGAAAGGGCTGTATCAGGGAGAAGCTCACAAGGTGGAGCAGCACCACGGCGTATGCAAGCCTGAACACGGGGAGCACAAAGAGGGACTGGTGCAGAAAATCAAGAACAAGGTCCCTGGCCAAGGTGATGGCGTGAAGCAGCAGCACGGCGTATGTAAGCCTGAACACGGCGAGCACAAAGAGGGACTGGTGGAGAAGATCAAAGACAAGGTCCCTGGCCAAGGTGATCAACATGGACATGGCATGCAGCAGCACCGCGGCGAATACGGGCCTGAATACGGGGAGCACAAAGAGGGACTGGTGGAGAAGATCAAGGACAAGCTCCCTGGCCAAGGTGATCAACATGGACAGGGCGTGCAGCAGCACCACGGCGAATACAGGCCTGAATACGGGGAGCACAAAGAGGGACTGGTGGAGAAGATCAAGGACAAGCTCCCTGGCCAAGGTGATCAACATGGACATGGCGTGCAGCAGCACCGCGGCGAAAACAGGCCTGAATACGGGGAGCACAAAGAGGGAATGGTGGAGCAGATCAAGGACAAGGTCCATGGCCAAGGTGATCAATATGGATATGGCGTAGAGAAGAAGCACCAGGATGGCCACATCAGCAGCCGTGACAACTATTAAACATCCCAATATAGGTATAAAGAAAAGCATACGTTCTAAAGCTTTTATTATTTCTGTATTTTGATGTTATTTGGTTTTACTAACAAGAAATTGAAAATTTGGGTCGCAGGTGAATGGGGTTAGCGAGAGGTTATTTATGTTTTTGGTTTGGTTATGGTGTAATATCCATGGTGAATGGAGATCCCAAGTATTATATAATAAAATCCCTCTCTGTTGTGTACAATACTTTCAATGCCATATGCTACTTTTTTAGAATAAATGGAAAACCAAAATTGTGATACACAAAAATAAAATCAAAATATCGTTTCTGTAACCATGGGCAGTTGCAGGGGGTTAAATTTTGTAACCTAATTCAATAAGAAGCGAGGACTGATAATAATGAAGGGAATATAACACTTACAATCCAAAAACTTATTTCATAATCAGTCCAAAAAAAGATTTTGCTTGACTCGTTATGGCTCTTGTCTATCTAATCGTAATCTAATAATTATGTAATCTAATTAATTGCAAGTTATCACGTCTAATTATGTTTTGGTCCTCTTCTTCCTCAAGGGTTGACACCAATTCAATTAGTTTTCAAACAAAATATGGAATAATCCTACACATACACCTCAACATCTAAATTTATTAATAATAAGATCTAACATCGAATTGGGTTTGACTGTTTCCTATTGACAGAAGGATCAATTACATTCTAATGAAAGTGGCATGGGCTTTATAGCGTAGTCCAATTTTAAGTGGGCTTTCATTTGACAATTGGGCTGAACTACAAAGCCCATGTCATATTTTGAGTATAAATTATGATTATTGGTTTTGATTGTATTTGTTTTATACAATAATATCATATCCATTTTACAGTAAAGTATATATATATTTTTTTTTTGGGGATGAACAGAGGTGTTTGAGCAGTTTATCGCAATCAAATGTCCTCGATTAATCATTTTAAGACCATAGAATTACTAGACTATCTCAATTAATCCTTTTAAGACCTTAAAACTATTAGACTATCCGTTAAGTAAAGCTCCAATAATCCATATTTTAACAACGGAAAGGAAAACTGGAACTCGAGAACTCTTTCATAATACATAAATTACTCCACTACTGATAACGAATATATAACGTTTTTTGACCGACATAAATAAAATAAAATAATAGAATCCCAATAAAGAATAAAGGCCAGGATGGCCCCCAATTCTATAATCATAATAGCTCCTTAGTTACGGTGATGAAGTGATTGGCTAGAAGTGTCAGAATTACAGAGAAAGTCATAAATATCTTAGTGGCACTATAGCCTTATCAGATCGCCCCCAACAACGCCTTTCCCTTGATCCACGTCTCCCCTGTTCTATCAAATATCCTCTTAACATAGTACTTTAGTACAACAATTCACTCAAACACAACCGGATAATCTTCTTTAATCAAATCTTATTATTGTTACTGTCATACTAAAATTACCCATTTTGTTTCTAAATTGTTTATTTCCCCTAAAGTTTCTGCTTACTATCAAATTCACCCCTTATAGAGTTACATTAAAGATTACATAATCTAATCTTATAAACTTTCTTTCACAATTTTAACGTAACAATTCATAATTAATCAATTTACAATTAGACAAATAAAATTTATTACAAATTGACTAATTCTAAGTTATCATATCGAGATTATTAAAAAAAATTATGAGATTGAATTGTAAGTATACTGTATAGTATTGCCCATAGAGTTATAGTTTAAAATATAAGAGGTCTTTATGATATTTATAAAGCAATAAGGATAAAATTGTAATTTACAAAAGATTCAAAGATATTTATCTCAAACTTTCCCTATAAATAGAAATCAAGATATGCATGAGTTTTCATACCAACATTCATTACTCGTAGGTTTTTTAATTGATTGAAAGCAAATCAAGAAACAAAATGTCAGGAACTATCGACAAGGTTAAGGAGACTCTCCACATGGGAGGGCAGAAGAAGGAGGGCGAGCAGAAAGGGGTGTATCATGGAGAAGCTCACAAGGTGGAGCAGCACCACGGCGTACGCAAGCCTGAACACGGGGAGCACAAAGTGGGAGTGGTGCAGAAGATCAAGGACAGGGTCCAGGGCCAAGGAGATCAACATGGACATGGCGTGGAGCAGCACCGCGGCGAATACAGGCCTGAATACGGGGAGCACAAAGAGGGAATGGTGGAGCAGATCAAGGACAAGGTCCATGGCCAAGGTGATCAACATGGACATGGCGTGAAGCAGCACCGCGGCGAATACAAGCCTCAATACGGGGAGCACAAAAAGGGAATGGTGGAGAAGATCAAGGACAAGGTCTGTGGCCAAGGTGATCAACATGGACATGGCTTTGACAAGAAGTAGCACGAGGATGGCCACAGCAGCTGCCGTGACAGCCTTTAAACATCCCAATCTAGGTATAAAGAAAAGCATACGTTCTAAAGCTTTTATTATTTCTGTATTTTGACGTCATTTGGTTACTAACAAGAAATTGAAAATTTGGGTTGCAGGTGAATGGGGTTAGCGAGAGGTTATTTATGTTTTTGGTGTAATATCCATGGTGAATGGAGATCCCAAGTATTATATAATAAAATGCCTCTCTATTATGTACGATACTTTCAATGCCATATGCTACTTTTTTAGAATAAATGGAAAACCAAAATTGTGATACACAAATATAAAATCAAAATATCGTTTCTATAACCATGGGCAGTTGCAGGGGGTTAAATTTTTTAACCTAATTGAATAAGAAGAGAGGACTGATAATAATGAAGGGAATATAACACTTACAATCCAAAAACTTATTTCATAATCCGTCAAAAAAAAGATTTTGCTTGACTGGTTATGGGTTTTGTCTATCTAATTGTAATCTAATTAATTAGGAGTTATCACGTCTAATTATGTTTTTGTCCCTCTTCCTCAAGGGTTGGCACCAATTCAATTAGTTTTCAAACAAAATATGGAATAAACCTACATATATAAAACTCAACATCTCAATTTATTAATAATAAGATCTAACATCTTATTGGGTTTGACTGTTTCCTCAGGGACAGAAGGATCAATTACATTCAAATGAAAGTGGCATGGGCTTTATAGCTAGGCCCAATTTTAAGTGGGCTTTATTGGATAATTGGGCTGAAATACAAAGCCCATGTCATATTTTTAATATAGGTTTTGATTGTATTTGTTTTATACAATAATCTCCATTTTGCAGTAAAGTCTATTTTTGTTTTTTTTGTCGTTTACATATATTTCAATTTATCTTTTTCAGACCTTAAAATTATTAGATTATCGACTAAGTAAAAGTTATAGTAATTACTCATATTAATAATAGAAGAAAAACTCAAAACTCGAGACCTTAACTACCCATATTTAATAAAAAAAAAACAACTCTTTAGTAATATATTAAAGGTTTTTATCGAATAACTCCGCTAATAAGGAATATATAAAGTTTTTTGACCGACATAAATAAAATAAAACAAAATAATAGAAATATAGAATCCAAGGAGGAATAAAGGCCAGGATGGCCCCCAATTCTACAATCATAATAGCTCCTTATTTACGGTGATGAAGTGATTGGCTAGAAGTGTCAGAAATCACGTGAAATTTCAGAGAAAGTCATAAATATCTTAGTGGCACTATAGCCTTATCAGATCGCCCCCAATCGATGCCTTTCCCTTTATGCCCTGTCCACATCTGCCCTTTTCTATCAAATATCCTCATATTTTCTTAATATAATACCACTTCTTCCACTTAGTACATCAACGCGCCGCGTACACGTATTATGGGCATTTACGTAATTCACTCAACACCACCAGATAATCTTCTTTAATCAACTCTTATTGTTATTGTCATACCAAAATTCCCAAATTTTTTCTTTCTAAAATGTCATATTTTCCCTAAAGTTTGTGCTTACTATCAAATTCACCCCTTATGGAGTTATAGTTTAAGAGTGATGCTATGGGTACTAATGGATAGGTACTAATCTGTGTACTAACTAAAGCATAGTACCCATACTATGCGCATAGTACGGATACTATGCTTTAGTTAGTACACAGATTAGTACCCATCCATTAGTACCCAGAGTATTATTCATAGTTTAAAATATAAGAGGTCTTTATGATATTTATAAAACAATAAGGATAAAATTGTAATTTAAAAAAGAATCAAAGATATTTTACCTCAAACTTTCCCTATAAATAGAAATCAAGATGTGCATATATTTTTCACACCAATATTCATTACTCGGTAGTTTTTTAATTGATTGAAAACAAATCTAGAAACAAAATGTCAGGAATTATCCACAAGGTTCAGGAGACTCTCCACATGGGAGGAGGGCAGAAGAAGGAGGAAGAGCGCAAGGGGGAGCACAAGGGGGAGTATCATGGAGAAGCTCACAAGGTGGAGCAGCACCACGGCGAACACAAGCCTGAACATGGGGAGCACAAAGAGGGAATGGTGGGGAAGATCAAGGACAAGATCCATGGCGAAGGTGATCAACATGGACATGGCGAAGAGAAGAAGAAGAAGAAGAAGGAGAAGAAGAAGAAGCACGACGATGGCCACAGCAGCAGTGACAGCGACAGCGACTAAACATCCCTATCTAGGTATAAAGAAAATCATACGTTCAATTGCAGATTGTTCTATTTTTTTTGTATTTTGATGTTATTTGGTAACTAACAAGAAATTGAAAATTTGGATCGCAGGTGAATGGGGTTAGCGAGAGGTTGTTTATGTGTTTTGGTTTGGTTTGGTTTGGTTTTGGTGTAATATCCATGGTGAATGGATATCTCTAGTATTGTATAATAAAATCCCTCTCTGTTGTGTACAATACTTTCAATGCCATATGCTACTTTTTTAGAATAAATGGAAAACCAAAATTGTGATACACAAATATAAAATCAGAATACCGTTTCTGTAACGATGGGCAGTTGCAGATCCAGCAGGATAGTTCATTATTATTGTTGGCCGGGGGGTTAAATTTTGTAACCTGCATAAACAGCGATCCAATCTCAGAAACCTTTTTTTATAATCTTCGATATGACAGTTCGCAATCAATTAGGAAATAGATTCTGCCTTCGTTATGGTTTTGTAGTAATCTGAGTTAGCGATATTGTATTGTAATAAAAATGGTGAATTCGACTAACTGTAATGTCGAAGGAACCGGGAAGAAGATAAGTAAATTACCAGGAGATCCATGTCCAAAGTCAAATAGAATCGAAGGGAAGGGAAACTACTACAGATGGAGAGGATCGATTTTGTA